CTGATGATCTACTTTGACCCGGTCGCTGTCCTTCACTACTGCATTTTTTGTTGCCATAATTCAAATATTTTTTCATATATAAGTACAGGATCACGATGAAGTTACGGGACATAAGTTTACTTTTAAATCTCACTTTTATCAAGTTTAAATGTTTTTATTTTTTATTTTCTATTATATATTTTTAATTTTTTATCTTATAAAATTTATAAATTTTAACTCTTTATGTTATACTATGATACTTTTAGTTTATCACTTATTAAAATTGAAAAAAATAATCATTATTTTGTAATATTTTATTAATTTTATTAACTAACTATTAACTTTATTAATTGACTATTAATTGACTGTTAATTATCAAAAAACTTTCTTTTAACTAATAGAGTTAATAAAATTAACTTTATAATATTTTGTTAATTCTATTAATTATCGATTAGTTGATTGTTAGTTGATAAAAATCTATTTTTAATTAACAGAGTTAACAATCAGTATAAATTGAAAATTATTTTATTTGATTTTAATAAATGAGAAACTAAAACTTATAAATTTAATAAGTTGAGTTAAAAGTATCATAATAATATAAAGTAAAGAATTAAAACCTCCAAACTTAATAAGATCAAAAAGTTAAAAATAAGTTTTTATCAAGTTATGAACCATAAAATATATATATATATTATAAGTTATTTTCTCTCTCTCTTTTTTTTTTTTTTTTAATTCGCCTAACAACTCATTTTCAAACTCAATTATTATTTTTTGTGTGGCCACCGTAACGGCGTCCTTTCAAACTTCTTCTCTTCACATGGGAAATTTCTCCATTCATGCTGGCAGTTAGCTGGACTGCTGATTTCATCAACAGAGGAGAATTCCGTCGTCATTATGCACTTCAAGTGGCTGATTGAAGTCCCACTCGGTTTTTTAACGATTATTAGTAAGGACAAAATTCACGTTAGTACTGAAAATTTAATGATTAAAATATTAATTTAATCCTTCACTTTTTAAATTTATATTAAAATTATCTTTTAATTTTAAAAAAATAAAAATATCTCTGAATTTTAATTTTTGATACCAAAATATTTATTTTATTAATAAAAGTACCATATGACTTATTATCTTGTCACAAAATTATTTTTTTTAAAATTATTATTGTGTAAAATCAAATAATCGTATTTTACAATCATAATATATTTTTATTTACACATTAAATTGACATATAATCAAAGTTAAAAAACCGAATTAATATTAGTCATCAAAGTTCAATGACTAAATTGGTTCTCATCTTCAAAGTTTAAAAACTATTTTGGTATCAAAAATTAAATTTTAAGGACAATTACGATACTTTTTAAAGTTGAAGAACAATTTCAATATAAATTTAAAAGTTAAAGAACCAAATTGACATTTAACTAAATTTAATTTTGCTATCAAACATGAATTTAAGATCTAAAAATGTGAAGATATAGTTATTCAATAGATTAATTAATAGAATGATTAAAAAAATATAAAGAAAAAGTGCAAATAGAGATGAAAAAAATACCAAATATAAATAAATGGCTAAAAATATTCAAAATTTAAAATTTAAAAACTAAAAATTGCATTTAACCTTTATGAAACTAACAGTCTATATAGTTGATAACCAATAAGTATAGCTTCCAAAAGACCTTTTGGTTAGGATATGCCTTTATTTCATAGAATTAAGAATTTGCCTTGACCAAGAAAGGTGTTCACACCTCTAACGAAGGTGCCGACAGCGCAGGAGGAAGACATCAAAGAGAGCCAGAAATGTTCTGAACCCCTGGTTAAGGCTTCGGACCCTAAATTGGAAATTCATGTGCGGCCTTGTTTGAGGTGCCATAGTGTCGACACTATGAGAAGGTGTCAATAAAGCAGCAGGAAATTAGGCATTCATGATTTATTCTTCATTTCTTAATTTAGGATTCAAATTAATGTTGAATTCTAGTGAAGAGTAAGGAATCTTGAAGATCATGCCGCAAATATAAAAATTTTTATGAGGGTTTGAATTTTTACTCCTAATGAAAATATAACTTTCTATTTGAGTCTACTATAAATATATATTATTAGCATACAATTCTAGAATAGAGAGAGAGTTGAGAGAGTAAAAACACCAATAAATGTGGTGTGACTATAACACAGTCCGGGGTGATGAGAGAGGATGCCTCCACTGAGTCCACTCTCTTTGGGTATTGTGATGGTAATATTTCCCTACTTAATTAATTAGAGTGTTAAGAATGGTTTTTTAACCACATGTGATTATGAGAGTTTCTTATAGATTATTGAGAGTTTCTAAGCATGTGTAAGAAAATTCCTTTGGGAGAGATTAAGTGAAAGTTCTTGGAAGATATTAAGAGTTCTAGAGGAGATTGAAATTGGGCTTCTAATGTTGTAAATCTTTCTTAATTGTAGAATTTTCTCTTTATCATTATGATTTTTCCCTCAAGTTTTTCACATTAAATTTACTGGTCCTCTTTCATATTATTTTACTTTATTATTTAATCCATGTGCATAATTTTATAATTATGTTTTTTTATCAATTGGCCTTGATGGTAGTCAGATTCCAATAATAATATCAGAGCATAGAGAAGAGGATTTTCCACTAACACTTTATTCATAATGTCCTCTGAAAGCATATATGTTAGGTCTTATTAGCGGTACTGCATAATTTCGAAAATGGATTTTTAAAAAATTGATCATCGACAAGGACTTTGAACGATCCACTGAAAATTCAGTACCTGGTCCAAAACGGCGCAAGTAGGCTAAGAAGTCCACCTCATGATCGGTGCATGTGGACTAAAATAAAGTAAATGGGAAAATGATAAGATTATTCCACTAGCAAACTTTGATTTTTGTTTTATTTCTTTGGAGGACAGTACTAATTGGTGAAGCCAACTTTTCCATCAAGTTTGATTCAAAGTCAAATAACGAATTAAATTATTTCCATGGTAATCATGTTTCTCTAATGCAGATTATGTGATTTAGAGTTAAGCAAAACCCTATATTAAGTTTTTAAATTTATCCTAGACTTTTAATTAAATCTTTAGATTTTTATTAAGACAAATAAGGCTATAAATTTGTCAATTTAAGTAATTTAACTGTTTTTTTTTTTTTATGATAAACTTAATACTCATTTATATTTTACTTGTGTAGACAAAGTTAATACCTGTTATGTAGGCAATGAGATATTAATATCATGTCTACATAAGTGATACATAAATAACTATTAAGTTTGTCGTAAAGAGGAAGAGCTAAATTATTCAAATCACTAAAATTAGGAGATATATAGAGTTTTGCCTTGTAGTTATTATACTTCATTTTATGTAATTATTTTTTATTTTCTTTGGTAGTTTTTTCCTTTGTCAACCTTCTCCCATTTTTTAACTTATCTCATTTACATATCAAGTAATTCAAACTCAACTTACCTCATTTACATATTAAACAATTCAAACTTAAGATTTTTATTTCTTAAAAAAAAAGAGGTTATTATTAAATTATTTAGATAGATGACATTTGGGTACCTTTCTTCTCTGTTAACCATTACTTAAATCAATATTTTTAGTAGGAATAATTAGACCTTTGAAATCAAGAAGATTATTTTTTGAATAATACTACTTATGAAGTTGAAAGGAGACCCAAAGATGGTAATTGGCTATTTCTTAGCCTGTTAGTCCAGTGTTGGCAACTGGAATAACTGGCAATGATCTTTATTTCTTTTTAAATTTGAGTTGCACATTTAGAGGCAACTCTCTCATCCTTTGATTTATATTATATGAATGTTTTACTTTATTAAAATATAAGATTATCATTGAACTACTTAGATTATTATGGACTAATTACTTTTAATTGTGTCATTTTTTCTTACAAAGTTGATAGAAGGGTTCATTTGTGAGGAAGTTTGAATTTTGCCATTAACAATGTAATCTTATTTAGTTTATTAATAAAAAATGCATATTAATCTTGACTTATAAAATAAATTAAAGTCTCAATTTTAAATAATATCGTTTTATTTAATTCAAATTTAATTCAAATTTTAAAAATTAATCTCATTAAATGTTGATATTTAGATTTAAAAACTAATTATATTAAAATATTTAATAAATTTTCAAATTTAAGTATCAATATTTAATAGAGTGTGGATTTCTAAATTTTAAATTAAGATTTAGTTTCTAAATGTAAGTTGAAACTCTAATTTTTTTTTAGAATCAAAACTAATATACACTATTTTTTTTATAAATAATGATAATTTTGAATAGCTAAATATTAATAATTCATTACACTGCATTTGAAATAATAATATAAACAAAAATAAAAATTAAGACATCATGTTATTAAAAGTGCAAAGATATTTAATCTTGACTATATTAATAATGAGGTTAAGATGAGATCCACACCATATCTCACTCATCTTTTATATATATATATATATATATATTAAACAGTGGGAAATTGAGGAATATGGAGAAAC